GCTCAGTGGTTAGAGCACTCGCTTTGCAAGTGAGAGACCTGAGTTCAATTCCAGGCAGAGGGCGAAACCTTGGGCAAGTTTCCTTACTCCACACAGAGCCTAATAATAATCCCTCCAAAACCAAAAACAATAATAAATTGGTCATTTTCAACCTACGACTGTTTGGGGGACATTGCTGTGCGCAATTGGCTGCCGCGTTCGCCCACAAATACAAAGTCAATTCACTTTACAGTGTGTTCTGTGAAGCACTTTGGGACGTCCTCCCACTTGAAAAGCACTATATCAAATGCAAGGAATATTATTATTATTATTACACACAGCAGCACATCTGCTCAGACAACACAACATGGGTGTAAACTCGGGCTTTCTTTGCCATCGTGTAAACAAGGAAAAAGGGCTTCAGGTAATCTTGTTAAACGTTATGTAAAGCTTTGGAAACAAGAAGTTGGGTAATTAGTAAAAATTGGCAAAGTGGGTCATGTCATCAACAAAATAATCCATATTCAGTGCCTTTCACGTCATGAGAACGTCTCAAAGCGATTCACAGGGTATAAAGTGTAGTGACTATTTTGTGGCAAACCTGGCAGCCAATTTGCACACAGGACTGTCGTACAGGGCATATTTATAGCACACCCTTAACCTCGGATAAGATCTGGAAGGCTTCACATTTCATATGAAGAAATACTGCAAATTAGACCTGTTTTAGGAAATCAGTCCCTGAAATTCAGCCTCAAGGACCCAATCCCCACATCACAATGTGATGTTTGACCATCACCACTGCAGGAGATGTACAGGAGAGAGGATGTCGTGGCATCCGGTCGGATGACATTTGGGGGAAAATGCTATATTTAATATGGAAAATAAAAGTTTCTTGAAGGATGTTGTCCCTCTCCTCTCCCTGACCATCTTTAAAGCCCACAGACCTTGGTTCAACCAAACTTTTGGTCACCTCCCACCATTCCCACGTCAGGCTGTGAAGCTGTAAAATTACTGATGTGAAGGTTTCAGTGTAAATGTAAAATTGTTATCCACAGATCAGTTTTCTCCCAACTTTTGTTTCATGTTGAGCTGTTTAGGATTTTAAGATTTCTTACGTTTTTGTATTTTCGAATGTTCTAAGATAATAAAATGCTGAGAATGTTTTGTTTAAATGGAAGTTAAGAAAGAGTATCTTTACATTTTATGCGCAGAAATGCTCTTTGTGTTGTGAATGCAATAAACTGATGCCCTTTTCTCATAAAAGTGGAAACAGAAGGTTTTTTTCCAGAAGAAATTATAAAAAGGACAGTAAGAGGTGAGAAGACACTTTCTCATATTTGTGGCTATTGGAATTTACTAACTGAAGCACTTCATAACTAATAATTCTTATATTATGCCTTTCATGGCAGCGCTGTCTCAGTGCTTTAGGGGATGAAGTGAAATGTGCGGTGACCGAATATGTTGTGGGCGAACGTTGGCAACCAATTTGCGCAGAACAATGCCTCACAAACAGCCAATCTTTTTCCATTGAAGGGATTGTCTATCACTCGGAGAAACTCCTTTCTCTTTCTAATAGAAGGGGAACCTCTCCCTTTTTATAACTAGAACTTGTAGTTTCGTTCACATAAAACTCTTGCAATCAGTTCAGCATTTATAGATCCAAACAGCAGCCACTTTGTGTACAGCGATATCACCCCAATCGTCCACGAAGCAAATGATGAATCTTTTAACTGATGAATCGGTGGCCGCGACACCCATGGAAACTCATCTTGAATAGTACCTTGAACTTTAAGATCGTCAGAGGTTCTGTCCTTTGGATTAAGCAAAGTCCGACTTCCTGTTTTAGCTCCACGTTAAACATCCTTATGGCACTATTCAAAAAGAGGAGGGAGTTTCTCCCAAGTATCCGGACCAACATTCCCCCAAATAAAATTGATTCAGTTCATAACTGCTAATTACATTGTTGGGTGCAAATTAGCTGCTGTGTTTGCACAAAAAATATCATTACATTTTACAACAGAGGGGTTAGGACACGGATGCTCTGGTGGGAATGGTGGTTGAGGGAGATCCATATTAGCTTTCAACAGGGAATTAGAGTTATCTAAATAGTAATAATCATTGCATTTGATACAGCGCCTTATCACGTTTTCTAGACATCAAAGCGCTTCACAGAATATACTGTAAAGTGAATTGATTGTATATTTTGTGGGTGAAACCCGGCAGCCAATTGTGCACAGCAGTGACCCACAAACAGTCGTGGATTGAGTGATCAATTTATTATTCTTTTTTTCTTTGAGGGATTATCCCCGGAAAAGCGATCTGTCAATTGACTAACATCTGGGTTCCTACTGACTGCTGGTAAACAGGAGTGTGGGGTAAGGAAACCTGTCCAACATCTCACTTGGCTGGGAATAGAACCCAGGCTTCGCTTACGAGGCGAGTGCTCTGACCACTGAGCTACAGGACTCCACGTCCCGATTTGGGCGAAACGCCTCAAAGCGCTTCACAGAATATACAACAACAACAACAAGATTCCATTTATAGAGCGCCTTTCACGTCGGGAGGACATCCCAAGGCACTGCACAGTTGGGTCAGGACCCGAGCAGTGGAGAAATGGTCAGGGTGAGGGGAGGGAAGGGAGGGAGCGAGGAAATGGTCAGGGTGAGGGGAGGGGAGGGAGGGAGCGAGGAGGGGGAAGAGAGTCGAGAGGGGAGCTGAAGGCTGAAGGTCATAGAGAAAGGTCTTGAGACCGGCCTTGAAGGAGGAGAGGGAGGAAGCGGCGAAGGCACTGGGGATAGAGTTCCAGAGCCTCGGGGCTGAGAGGCTGAAGGCCCGGCCACCGATGGTCGGGCGGTTGGGGCGGGGGATGTGGAGCAGACCGGAGCCAGAGGAACGGAGGGTACGGGCAGGTAGGTAGGGGGATAGTAGGTTGGAGAGGTAGGAGGGAGCGAGGCCGTGAATGGCCTTGTAGGTGAGGATGAGGATCTTGAATTCGATCCTCTGGGGGATGGGGAGCCAGTGGAGGCGAGTGAGGGCGAGGGTGAGGGCGAGGGTGGGAGTGAGGGCGAGGGTGAGGGCGAGGGTGAGGGTGGGAGTGATGTGGTCTCGGTGTCTGGTGCGGGACAGTACACGAGCTGCAGAGTTCTGAATGACCTGCAGTGTGGAGGGAGGGCCGGGAAGGCCGACGGGGAGAGATTTCCCATAGTCCGGCCTTGAGGTGGTAAAGGCGTTGACCAGAGTTTCAGCCGCGTGAGGGGTGAGGTAGTGCCGTAATATACTGTAATATACTGTAAAGTGGATTGACCGTGTGTTGTGTGGGCGAAACACAGCAGCCAAATGCGCTCAGCAGTGTCCCACAGAGAGCCACGGAGTGAGTGACCAATTTTATTTGGGGGATTGTTGGCCAATAACAAACCCTAACAACGTCCTCAGAGATAAATCACAGATACAGGAAATAATATTTTATTATTTTATTAAAAATCTATCATCTAAAAAAACAAATTTACAACTACTACATTTCAGATATCTATACACTCACAGTTAAAGTGCTAAAACTGAAGAAAGAAAGTTGAACAAAGCTAAACACTTCCTAATGTAAACAGAAAGGTTCTTTGGGGGAGAGTGCAAGTTTTTTTTCCTTTAACTTTTTAGTGTTGAATACAGAGGCGGATGGACATAGCACAACAGTATCCACTGCCTAACACTTGACTGAGGGCATTACTGCTCCAAACCCAATCAGCACCGGGTGACAATGCACATTCTCATCATTGAAATCTTCAAAGCCCTGAAGTTTTTCCGGTCAAATTATCAGTCAAAATGGTCTTTACAGAATTGTAGAAAATTATTTAATTTGGAGGCTATTTTTCCACAGTTCTTACACTGTGTACGAGTGTAATTGTTGATGTGTATATATGTGTATTGTGTGTCGGGGAGAACGAACACTGCAGTGACCCATCAAATGCTGAACAATCAGATGATCAGAACTGAACTTTCACTCAGTGACGGCATTATGTAACAGATATTAAGGGGATACGAAATGGGGGAGAAATGGGATTAAAAGTCTCACAATCTAATTGAAGAACGGAACCAGATCAAACGGTTGTACGGTCTCCTTCGCCTCCGACTTTCTCTAACCCCCAGAGGGCCGAGTGGAACAGTCAGTGGATCTCACCTGTGAGTCACTGTTTTAACATTCTCTCCAAGACCTGAAATTCCATTTTAACTCAAAATATAAAACAGCGTAAAACTGGGAGATTCACAGATTAAATCTAAACAGATTTTGGACCCGGTTTCTTGTCAATAACTGAAAACCCTGTGGTGAACGCAGTACGTTACAGCATTTGCATAGCTCCTCAGTATTGGTAACTCAGCCAATCTCATCCTAATGCACTCGTCAGAGCCACTGTGCTCCCCCAGTGCAATACGCCACTTGTTCTGCAGTGCAACTCAGAGGGCCCAGTGGTTCCATAGGCACCTAAACACGTTTACATGACAAACGGCTCACTAAATGCACATCCTGCATCAGCCCCTTAAAAAACTTCTCTCTGCCGCTCCTTAATTGTGGCACATTCCTACAATTTAACACAAAACATTTGTTCATCCCTTTCTTACCCACTGGCCCCACAAGATAAGAGCCAGACGCCCTGGTTAGTAAACAGATGCCCTATTATGCCTTTGCCAACTCGGCAACAATAAAGATCTTTTCCCCCCCAATGAGTTGTGGCCAGTGTGTGAACACAGCGAGTAACGTCTATCAGAGCGGAGGCCGAAGGCAGGGTCCCATGGACGGAAATTGAGCCCAACACGCAGACGAGGTGACAGTATAAAAGTGGAGGGTTTAAAATGTTAGAGACCTTGATCCGGACGTTACTCAGTAACAGTGCAGAGGAGCAGAAGGTAATCGGGTCTCTCAGTGCTGGACTGACACCTAACTTCACATGGCATGAGGTCAGCTCATCTTTTCGTTCCCTTTTGTGTGGAAAGAGACTGTGACTGATCTTTAACATTAAAAACAAACCTCGCTGCCACCCTGGGCAGAGCTGAAACACCACCTCCCGTCCTCCCCTCTGCTGCTGACATTGGTTGGTTCCCACAGGCCGTTTCTAACCCCTTTGTCCGGCTACACAACAAGGCCACTCCTCAATGCTTTGTAAACGTCTGTGGTTTCTCTGTACCCTGTTAAAGTGAGCCCCTTGGCTGCAGTGTGCAGGGCCTCAGGCACTAGTGCAGTCCTCCTCGATGACCCTGTTCATGCTGGTGCCGTGAGTGATGTGAGTGGACGGGTTGCTCAGGTCCCTGGTGCTGCTGTGTCGGGACTGGTCGTTCAGGCGGTGTAGGCTGCTCTGCCGGGACTGGTCGTTGAGCCGGGGAAGGCTGCCGTGTGTCAGACGCTCATCCAGACCCCGGAAGCTGCACGGTGTGTACCTGACAAAGACAAAGGCTTTTGTGTTAACCAGACCAGCAACTACCTGCAGCTTGTGCTCAGCACAGACACACAGGTGTTATACATGGCAACACATCCTGGCTCAGGAGCTAATGCTCTGGTCTCTGAGTCAGAGGACTGTAGGTTCAGGTTTGGGGACTTTGAACTCATATAAAATACAACTTCAACAACAACAACTTGAATTTATATAGCGCCCCAGAACGGTGGCCGGCGGCGGAGCACAAATGCTGACACAATGGGAGTGGTGGGGAGGACAGAGCACTGCATTTTGAGGTGGTCCTTCCCATGAGATGTTAAATTGAGGCTCTGCTCTGTCTGTGCTGTTCAGGCGGATATTAAAGATTCCATGGAGCAATTTGAACAGAGAAGAGTTTGTGTCTCCCGGTGTCGTGGGCAACAATAAAATTGGTCACACTTTGAGACGTCCGCCTGACGTGAAAGGCATTATTACTGTTTATCAAATACAAGTATTATTATTATTTTTTATCTGTGTTCTCCAAAGTGCTCAGTCTTAGCTTTGTGACTGTCTCGAAATAGGAGATTTCAGGATCTTGGAAGATTTTTCAATTGAAGTATTACATTTTGAAGTTGGTTTCTGAGGTTCTGAGAGATTGTCGGCCACGACACCAGGAGGTACCATCTGCTCTTATTGAGTAACAATAATCCCTGCCGCTGGTACTGTGCCTCTCACATCAGGAGGAGTGACTGGATTTTGTAGGCATTTGCAATGTCCCTAAAACAGCCATGAAATGAATGACCGATGTTATTTGGGGTATTGTTGGTCAGGACACAGGGAGAGAGAAACTCTCCCAGTTTCTCTCCCAGTTTCTGCTCTCTGCAGCGGGATCTTTAAAACCCTGATCGGGCTGACGAGACTGGGTTAACGTCTCACTGAGGTGGACTCCTCTAACTGTCCATCACTGCCCCAGACCTGCCTTGTGGCCCAATCACTCCCTCACCTGCCGTCACGAGACCTGTGAAGGCTGCCATGGTAGCTGCTGACTTTACTGTGAACGCTGCCTGCTTTGCTCCTCTGATCGTCCATGGTGGCCAGCTGCTGTGACGAGGCGTGGGTGGAGGTGCCCTGGGTGGAGGTGCCTCGGGATTTGCGTATGATGGGTGTGTTGGGGTCCCTCAGCAGCGACTGTGCAAACTCCGGCTCCTGCAGCACCTGCCGGCTCTCGTTCACTGTTCTGTAAAGTAGAGGAGGGCGTCAGCACCGGGAATCCACTCACTAACATAAACCCTCGATTTGATATGGCACCTGACACATGAAAACACACTCTTACAAGTGCCTTTCATGTCGGGAGTATGGCTGAACAGTAGGGTCTTAGATGGAGAATGGACAAAAGAAGGCACAAAAAAAGGATTTAGTAGGTCACCAGGATTCTCTGTCTATAGTGCAGGAGGCGGCAATTTGACCCATCGAGTCTGCACTGGCTCTCAGAGCAAGGAGTGGCTCTCAGAGCAAGGAGTTCATATCCTGTAATTTACTCCTTTTTATCGAGTTCCTTAGAGAGAAACATAGAGAGAGAGAGATAGCAAAAGAAAGCGAATGGGGGAAGAGTGAGTGTGTGTGAGAGAGAATGAGAGAAAGTGGGAGAGAGAATAAGAAACAGACACACATACACGGACAGTGAAGAATGCACATACTCTTTTTTCTTCCGGCCGTGGAAGAAACTGGCCCATTCGAAGCAGGTTTTCTTGCTGCCAACCCAGAAGACGGAGGGAATGCCGACCACTAGAGCCATCAGGTACTTCATCAGGAAGAGGATCAGGTCAGGACGGCTCGTTTGGGTCACCTGATGAGGAATACAGTCATTTTACAACGAGGATCACATCACAATGTCCCAAAGCTCACAATGTATTATACTGTATTTTTCTGCTGTTTATAATTATACTTTCATTTGATATCGCGCCTTATCACATCATTGAGACACCTCAAAGTGCTTCACAGAATATACTGTAAAGTGTAGGGACTGTGTCATTTGTGAGCAAACATGGCAGCCAGTGTGAAGATAGGCACCTCAGCATTGCACTGCAGTGTCATCTTAGACTGTCTGCTGGAAGTCTCAATGAGGGGCTTGAACCTATAATCTGACTCGGAGGTGCTACCAACTGAGCCACTCCAACTTACTGTGCAGTGTGTTGAGATGTTTCGAAGTGCACGGTACTATAAAATACAAGTTTTCGTCTGTTTAGGAGAATGCTACGCAAGATGAAGGGATCGACAACAGTGAAGGGAAATGGGAGGAAAAAGAGATTAAAAACAAAGTCTTCAAGTTGATTCTTTGAAAAGGAAATGAGACGGATTTATTTTAGGAAATAAAATTGTGGGATACAGTATATAGTTTGGGACATGACATATGGATGCAACTGCCAGGATGGTGGAAAGCGAACTGGATGGACCTTGGTTTTTTTCATCTAGCAATTCTTATGTTAAGTCTCTGTGTCTCTCTCTGTCTCTTTAATAACAGATCTTTGACAGGTTCCTGTGAAGAAAGATAATGTTGCACAGACAGCTACGGAAAGACAAACTAAAGATACGATGATTAAGCTCTGGATTCCTTCTTTTGAAGGGAAGTGAAAAGAAAGCAAAACAGAAAGGTTGAGGCTTTACAGAGATTTCAGAGCTGTCAAAATACTCGGTGCTGAAATAGCCAGGCTGACAGGTGGTGACAGTAATTGTAGTCCGTGTACAGCTTCTCCCCTTCATAGCATGAAAGCCACGTGACAGGTCAACATGTGAAGAGTGCAGCAAAGTAATAACATCATATAGAAACCATCACAGCCACAACAATCTATATTTTGCTCTGAGAGCAGGTGTAGACCTGATAGACCAAATCGCCTCCTTCTGCAAGGTACATTCTCTTGTGTGGGTGTGTATGGTGAGGAGACACTGCACTGTGTGCCATTCTTCATGTGAGATGGTAAACTAAGGTCCCAGTTCAGGTGCTCATTCACTTTGTGGTGCTTTGGAGGACCTTTCTGGGTACATATTGTTACAGAGCACAGAAATAGAAATAGAAATACAGCACAGAAATAGACCACTTTCTCCCTTTGGCCCCTTTTGCTGAATGGAATGATTTCAAGATCCTCACATTCACCTACAAATCACTGCCGCCCTAACACCTCCTTACCTGACCTGCTCACACCCCATTCTTTGAGCTGGCTTTGCTCAGCTGGCTCCAGCCTCCTACACATCCCTCATCCCCTCCACCACTGGAGTTCTGTAGCTCAGTGGCGCCATATAAATGTAAAAGCACTCGCCTCACAAGTGAGAGGACTTGGGTTGAATTCCTGGCAGGGCCAAATGTTGGGTAAGATTTCTTTCTCCACACGCCTGTTTACTGAGCAGTTAGTAGGAACCCGGTTGTTAGTTGATTGACAGATCACTTTTCCAGGGGTAATAATCCCTTCAAAAATAAATAAATTGCTGTGTGCAATTACCTGCTACATTTCGCCTACAAAATACAGTCAATTTACTTTACATTATATTCTGTGAAGGGCGTTGAGATGTCTCGGAAGATGTGATAAGGCATTGTCAATTCCTCGTTTGTTAACTATATGAAATGCAAGAATTATTATTATTATTGGTGTCTCTCAGCCACTTGTGCCCAAAACTCTAGAACTCTGTGCCTCCTTGCCCACTCCTCACAAGTCTTCAGATCGCATTTGAAGACCTTCCTCTACGACCGTGCTTATTGTCACCTCCCCTCTCTCCCCAGCTCGGCATCAGGCTCCACCACTGTTAAGCACTCCGAGACACTACACCACATGCACGGCAAAGCAATGCAAGTAGTTGCAGTGATAAGGCACTGTATCAAATGCGAGGATTATTATAATGACCTACAGATCAAGGGCACTGTTCCAGCCCTCCAGACATGCAGTCAGTTCTGCATTAATTTCTTGTGGCAGTTTGACACTTTCTTCTGAGCTCCGGTAACAGCTGAGAAGCCTGAGGAGGAAAGGTTGTTCACATTCCTGAAAACAGAACTGAAGTTCAAAGCTGGCTCAGTATCTGTTCTGAATATCAATGCCTTCTCAAGCTTTAGGCAGTAGAAATAAGAATTCTGAACAGAAATGTGCTCAAATCTGTGTAGAGAGTGTCAGTCGATTACCAATATATTTTGAATTTCTTCCTCCTGATTCTTGGGGAGATAAGACAATATTGCTGCTGGATTCACAATCAGAGAGAGTCAGCACAGAGGCGATTTAGCAAATCTCGTTTGTACTGCTCTTTTTAAGGAGAAATCCTTTCATTCTCATTTACCTAATCTCTCACCCCCCCCCATCCCTAGAATTTATACCTTTTTAAAATATTTACTGTGTCTACACAATTGGCTGCCACGTTTCACCCACAAAATACACTGTCAATTCACTCTACCGTATATTCTGTGAAACGCTTTGCTATGTCTCAAAGACTTGATAAGGCGTTACATCAAATGCAAGGATTATTATTAGTAATTCCCTTTTGAAGGCTAATATAGATTCTGCCTCAGCCATCGCTCCTGGCAGTACATTCCACACCCTAAGCAGTTTGTGTGTGAAAAACATCGTCAATCCTCGTTTGTTAACTATATGAAATTTATTGCCCTCAGGTCACTGAGTCACCGACAGTGGGAATAACGCCTCCCTATTGACTCTTATCAAACCCCCTCACACAATGTTAAAGACAAACCCCGTCACACAATGTTAAAGACCTCGATATCCCCTCCACCCACTTGGCAGCTGTTCCCTGTACAGATTATCCTCCAATTGGCAGCAGCCAAGAGCTGCAAAACCCAACAGCTGCATAATAGCAGCACTGAGTGGAGATTGTAAGCAAAACAGAGGTTACCATGTGCTCACTTACATCAGGCAAGAGAAATGACTTCACTGGTGGGTCTGTAACCGAGGGCTTACATTTAGGATCACCCCAAAAAAATAAAGCTAATGAGTTTAAGGAGACTGGAGGAGTTAAACCAAGGCTCTGTCTGCCTATTGAGGTGGCGTTAAAGATCTCATGACATAGCTCAAAAAGAGAAGGGAGTTTCTCTCTCCCGAAGTGCTGGTCAACAAACCTACCAATAAAAACACAAACAGTCATGGATTGAGTGAACAAATTATTATCATTAATTTTTGGGACGGATTATTATTCCCGGAAAGTGATCTACCAATTGACTAACAACCGGGTTCCTATGTAACAACAACAACTTGGATTTATATAGCACCCTCCACGCCGGAAGGAGTTTCAGAGCACTTACTTACCTAGACGGAGGGGATATGCCAGGTAAACAGTAAAGGAACTTGATTCACTGATCAGTGGAAATAATTTTTCCCTGCCCAAGAAATGAACCCGGGTCCTCTGGCTTGTGAAGTGAGCGAGCTAACCACTATGCTATGGGACGCCACATAGTGCAATCAAAGATGTATGTGATATGTTTTAGGTAGGATTTAATCAGAGTGTGTGTGTGTTGGGGAATGGGAGTAGCAATAGATGCATAGCCTTCCAGAAATTAGGATGCATTGCTGCAGTGCCATAAACCTCTGAGGTGGGAGGTGACAATGTTGTATGTGCTATGCTACCTGTAGACTGTGAGCTGACCATCACGTTGACTGGAATGCTGACATACCTGGTAAGGGCAGGGGATGTGGTATTCCCGGCAGCGTTCCTGGATCCACGTAGTCTCCCACACGCTGCGGAATGCTTGCTCATAAAAATAGCAGCCGATGACCACGAGGAGGGGCACCAGGTACAGGACACTGAAGACTCCGATGCGGATCATGAACTTGACCAGCTTGTCCTGATTCTCCTTCTCCAGTGGGATTTCAATCCGCACCCTGTTGAGGGAGATGATTCCGGCCAGGAGCAGGGACACCCCCACCACTACATACAGGCACAGCGGGGCCAGCACAAAATAGCGCAGTGCGTCCACATCATACAGCCCGACAAAGCAGACCCCGCTGATGTTGTCGCCCTCGATCTTGTTCATGGTGAGGAGGACGATGGTCAGGGTGCCCGGGATGCCCCACGCGCTGGCGTGGAACAGCAGTGCCTTCTTCTCGATGGCCTCGCTGCCCCACTTGGGCACAGCGGCCAGGAACCAGGTGATGGTGAGGATGACCCACCACACACTGCCCGCCATGGTGAAGAAGTAAAGCACCATGAACAGCATGGTGCAGGCCTTGTTGTGGGAGCCCTGTGTCACGGTGGAGGCTTTGTAAAGGGAGTCGTTGCTTCTGTTGCACGCCACTTTGTCCTCCAGGAGAAAACCGATGAAAAAGACCAGGGATACCATCATGTAGCAGACGGCGTAGAATATGATGGGCCGCTCGGGGTAGCGGAATCGCTTCACGTCAATCAGGAATGTGAGGAAGGTGAAGAGTGTGGCGGACAGGCAGACAATGGAGATCACGCCGATGAAATAGCGAGCGAAAGAGAGTTCTTCCCGTCTGAAGTACATGTTGGGGCAAGGAGGCGAACAGTCCTTTACCCCCAGAAAGGAGTACCCAAGATCTGGGTCCATTTTCAGCTCCCGAGGGCACCAGAAACCATAGTCCCTCTCGACAGCCATCGGAGTCTCGTCAGTGGGATCACCGTCCTGCACAAAGTCTCCGATCCGTGGTAGTTATCATCACAGTCTGGAAATCTGCCAATAGATAAAACAATCACATTTTGGCCAAATCCAGCAGGTCGGAAAATAGTTAACTTACTTGTTTCTCCACTGGGCTAACCCCATTCTCACTGCATTTAGTGCTTCACTGGCCTAAAGAAACTTTAATTATCCATGACTTTAAGTTCTTAAGTGAGTGGAGGGTGCAATTTCTTACAGATAGGAATTTCCCGGTCAGAAAGAAAGTGAGAAAGAGAGTGGTAGAGTGACAGTTTGCGAAAAAGTGTGTGAAAGTCAGAATCATAGAGAGAGTGATACACACATACTTCTAATGCTTACCTCCTAGTAGGCATTGGTAAGCAAAGACTTGTGAGAATATCAGCTGTCTAGCGTCGCAAATGAGATGACAATAATAATCCTTGCATTTGATACAGCGCCTTATCACGTCTTCTAGACATCTCAAAACGCTTACAGAATATACTGTGAAGTGAATTAACTGTATATTTGTGGGTGAATCGCAGCAACCAATTGCGCACAGCAATTGTTGATTGAGTGACCAAAATATAATTGGTTTTTTTCTTGAGGGATTATTATCAGGTGTGTGGAGTAAGGAAACTTGCCCCAAGGTTTCGCCCTGCTGAGAATCGAACCCAGATCTCTGACTTATGAGCGAGTGCTCTAACCACTGAGCTACAGGATACAGGAGATGGCTGAGGAGACCTAGTTTTCTATTAAAATATAATTACGTAGTGCATCGTATTACGTCAAATATTCAAGAGGGTTTATTTGAGTTAAATGTGCAGGTGGAAACTGTTCTGTACAAATAACACCTTTCCTGCAGTTATAATCACGTCACTCCACTGTGGCAGCTGTTTGGCAGGGTCACTGGGGAAGGAAGCAGGTTTAACGACATTAACAATGAGGCCTTGAATGACGCGCAACCTAGTGATCATCACATCTGTGTCAGCTAAAAGCACTTTATGGGAAACACTGTAGTGACAAAGCATTTTGTAGGTGAATTTATACAGCGATGTCCCATAAACACCCAGTAAATGAATGATTGATTTTATTGGTGGGATTGTTGGCCAGGACACCAGGAGACTCCCTTCCCTTTTTAAGTAATGCATTAAGGTCCACCTGAACAGACGGTTCCTAGATATATCTTATCTGACAATGCAGTGCTCCATTTATAATTGCATTAGACTGTTCCCCCGATAGGGAATGAACCCACAACCTTCTGACTCAAGGCGAGAGTGCGACCCACTGAGCCAGGCTGACTTTAAATGAACTTAGTTATGGCTTCATGGCCACCAACTGCAATTACTGTGATGATGGTAATAATAATCCTTGTATTTGATGTTGCGCCTTATTAAGTCGTCGATAAGTCTCAAAGTGCTTCACAAGTAAGCGGTGTCCTGTGTAGTGACTGTATTTTGTAAGCAAACGTGGAAGTCGATTTGCACACAGCAATATTCCACAAACAGCCACAAAGTGAATGACCAATTTTATCCACAGGCCGGAACACTAGGAGACTCACTTCTCTTTTCCAATGGTTCATTAGGATTGTTAATGTCCACCTGAACAGGCAGTGATTGAAGCAGAATGTTTAATACCTTTTAAAAGAAACAAATGTTTGATAAGGTGTCAAGCCAGGAGTGGTAAGTGCCTTGGGAGGTCCTCCCAACATGAAAGACTCTATATAAATGCAAATCTTTAGCCTTTTGGCATAACAAATCTCATCCGTAAAGTCAAGGATTCTGAGAAGGACTGAGCTGTTGGCACAGCTACACCTTCACCCCTCTGTTGGTTGGGGTTGGTATTGTAGTATTTCTGATCTGAGAGTGTGATCTGCCCTCACACACTCACACAGAGGAAGGAGAGACACTGGAATCATAATTCACTTGAGCACCTGGTCAGGCCAGAGAGGCCATCCCATCACCTGACCTGCTTGAGGTGTCAGAGTCCACAACTAGCATCTATACAGTGTTTCACATGGGGCAGCATTTCGGAGACAAGTTCAGGTCCGCACTGTCCTTTGACAATTTGGGGCCTAGAAGAGTTTGGAGAAACTCTCATTCCCTAGAATAATGTGTTTCAGTCTATTTGGGCTAACCTTGCTCACTAAATAAAAACAATATTAGTACAGGTCAAATATCATCCCTCTAACTCTAAACACAACTTATAATTTGGCTTTTACACACAAAACATTCACTAGATATATGAGTATGTCACCTCAGTTTTGATTGGAGAAGAAACGGTTGTGTGAGGGATGACGAGATGTGCAAATTATTAGGGTTTTTGACAGAGTAAATAGGGAGAAGCTAATTCTATTGATAGGACAGTCACTGACTTGGGGACATAGTTGTAAGCTAGATACAAGGAGAGATCAGGAGAATTTATTTTTCCCTCCGAGTTGCTAGGATGCGGAATGCCCTGCCAAATAAAGAGGTAAAAAAACAATCCACTGTAGCTTTCAAGAGACAGTACAACAACAAAATTACATTTATATAGCGCCTTTCACATCGGGAGGGGTAGACAGGCATTTGAAGAGAGGGACTTCAAGGAAGATAGGACTAAAGTAAGATTGTATTGATCATGTTGCTCTGTGAGCTGGTGCAAACTCGATGGGCTGAATCATCGAGGCCTCCTGCGCTGTAGATTTCTATATTTCTATCCTGTGAAGCTTTATGAGATGTCGTCTCACTGTGAAAAACACTATAACAAATGTAAGGATATTTTTTCTTATAAATTTGTATGATTCTAGAACTTCTCATTGTATTGAAACAGAAATGTGCGTAGCTGTATAGTCCCAGCTGCTGAGAATCTTTATTCTTGTTTTCATGCTGGCTTACTTACTTCACACACTCCATCTCCTCCGGCCACATCACCCCGAACATCTCCATCAGTTTGTGACACTCGCCGTATGCTCGCTGGCACAGGCTTCGGCAAGGCAGTGTAACACGCCCGTACTCCATACAGATGGGAGCGTACATGGCACATAGGAACGGCCGCAGGTCCCGGGAGCACTCCAGGTTTACAAGCGGGTGAAACGGCTGAAAGAACAAAACACACACAGATTAGAATAGTTCCTCAGAGCAGAGTCCAATATCTCATACCATTAAGACATTCCTGCTTCTAGGCATGGAGTCCTATAGCGTATTGGTTAGAGCACTCGCCTCACAAGCGAGAGGACCTGGGTTCGCATGCTATGCAGGGCGAAAGGTTAGGCAAGTTTCCTTACTCTGTTTACCTAGCATTAAGTAGGAACCTGGTTGTTAGTTGATTAGTGGATTGCTTTTCTGGTGGTAATAATCTTTTAAAAATACGTAATAATTGGGTCACTCAATCCATGACTATTTGTGGGACACTGCTGTGTGCAATTGGTTGATGTGCTTCATCCACAAAATATACAGCCAATTCACTTTACAGTATATTCTGTGAAGGGCTTTGAGAAGGCTCGAAGATGTGATACGGCGCTATATATCAAATGCAAAGATTATTATGATAGCAATATATCTGAAAGAACATCAAACGACTGAGCTCAGCTCAAGATCAATGCTTACACGGTCCCATTTTGGTTGAAAGGCATTTAAGATCAAAAGTGGTTAAAAAAAAAACAGCAAAAGCTGGAAATCTGAAATAAAAGCAGTAACAGTGGAGGGTCTCTGCAGTTGGAAGTTCAGATAAGCATCTAAAAGCAAACTGAAACAAACTATTTGCGAGTGAGGAGGGTTTTGATAAAGATTTCATGTATGTTTGCAGGACATCGTGTGAAAATTGGCCCCACATTCGCCTACAGAATGCACAGTCACTACACATTTCCCAGTAAATCCCGTGGAGCACTTTGAGACTCCTTCACAATGAGAAAGATGCTGTATCAAATGCAGGATCACTCCATGTCCCCTGCCCTGCCCGCCCACCATCTGCAGCAGGACCTTCAGCCTGTCTGCCCCACTGCTGGAACTCCATTCTGGAAAGCTTTTGCCTCGCCCCCTCCCTTGCCTCCTTCAACGCCCATCTCAAGACCTTCCTTGTTGACCATGAACATCTTCAAGGCTGAGACTGTTAGATCTTTAAAGAATAGAGGGATTAGGGGATATGGGAAGAGGGCAGGTAATTAGAGTTAGGTCAGAAGATCAGCCATGATCTTATCGAATGGCGGGGCACGGGCTCGAGGGGCCGAATGGCCTACTCCTAATTCTTATGTTCTTATGCCTTCAGTTGTCCTCTTGACTTTAACCCAGCTTGGGTGTAAACTCTTCACTCTCCAGCACATTGGGATGTCCTCCCAATTTGAAAGGTGCTGTGTAAATGCAATTTATTGTTGTTTATTATTAATTATAAGGCAGACATCCAGCCCATTATATCGATGGCTCCTTGAAAAATCAATGCAGTCAGTCCCATTTACCTGCCTCTCCCCTACCTCAAAACTTGCAAATTACTCATTAGAGCAGAATGAAGACTAGAAATATTGTACTATCTGGAATGAGGTGAGCAGGATTCATCCATCTGGGGAGAGAGTCCCATTAACAGATATTTTCTCTCTTGCAAATGAGATTGGTCGAGATTATATGAGAGAGAGTACAATGCCCAAGAGATGGGATTAGGTATTTCTCACCAATCAGTATAAATACATATATATCAGTATATTCTATTGTCCTCCCAAATGGCTGTCGGTTCTGCTTTCCGGGTTGTCAGATCGTCTCTGATATCTCTTTTGGAGCCCACTGGCCGTCTTGTAGTGTACTGTGCTCATACACAGGTCATCACCCAGTCTGTGCCCCAGTGCGCTATGATCCATAAATCAAACTCAACAGTCCAGGCTGACACTCCAGTGCAGTGCTGGGGTAGTGCTGCTTTATCAGAAGTGCTGTTCTTCAGATGAACGTTTAACTGAATTCCCGACTGCTGTTCAGTTTGGAGCTAAAGATAAGTGAGTTTCTCTCTCCTGGTATTGTGGCTAAAGATCCCCCAGATAAAATTGGTCATTCACTCATGGTTGCTGTGCGCAAATAGGCTATTGCCTTGGGACGTCCTCCCAAAGTGAAAGGCGCTCTATAAATGGAATCTTGTTGTTGTTGTTGTTATGTATTGCATTTGTCCACAATACACAGTCATTACCCTTTATATAGTAATTCCTGTGAAGTGCTTTGAGATAGTCTCCTGATGTAAAAGGCGTTGCACTAAATGAAAGGATCATCATTACTGTGTTATTTGGGTAGTTGAATGGAGGTTTGGAAAGAGCGCCATAAGACAGACATGATTTCTTTTTGAAGTCGGCATTCATCCAGAACTTGGTAGAAGGATTTTGACTGTAGAATATTTTTTATTAATGAAGAATGCCAGTAGAAGTAGAACAAAAATAAATCTCCGAGCCAAACATCTCAGGGATAAAGTGAATACAAGTAGCTTCAGTTTCTCCTGCCCCTTAGGCCATAGGAACTTACAAGAAAAAAATCGTAGTTTCAGTTGAAAATATGTAAGCCAATCTGAAAATGATGGCAACCAGCGAGTTATTGTGTTTCTTATCCGGCCTTATCTGTATTATTTGTCATGTAGATTTCTGGGGCGCTTGAACTCCCTCACTGGCATTTCAGCTCTTTTGCAGCATCTTTAATGCACATCTCTGACAGCTGAACCATTTGTTTGCCTCAACCAGCAAACCCACTTACGTTTGCTGCCTGTAGTTGGAAGCGGCACTGGGGAATCAATTTACAATACAGCTTCTATTTATATAACGACTGCCATGCAGGGTGGTGTATGAGCGCTGCACAGTGGACGGATTGTTTGCTGAGCAAGGGAGAAGGCAGAGGAATGAGGTAGAGAGGGGATAAGGCACAGTTCCAGGTTAGGGGCGCAGTGGCTGAAGGCCACTGATGGTGCCACAATATATTATGATTTACATTTATACAGTGTCTTTCAGGTAGGGAGGATATTTCAAAGCCAATGACAGTGGTGGGCACCTGAGCTGAAGCTGGAACCAAGGAGGGTTGAGAGGGCAAAGATAACCCAAAGAGCAGTGATAAGGAGCAAGTGCAAGGATTATTATACAAATGAAAAGATTATTATGTACTGTTGGTTAATACCATAATAAATCCTTTGCGCACAGCCATGAAGTGGACAACTTTATCTGGGGATTGTTGGCCAGGTCACCTGGAGAGAGAAACTCGCTTCTCTTTGCCATTAATGTCATGGGAATTTTAATGTCCACCTGAAAACCATGCAGATCATCCTCAGACTGTCACGTAATATTTAGTGACTGAAATGGGCCATTTTTTAAATGAATCGGCTCTGTGAAGCTTATCTCAAGGTAAGCATACTAGCAAAACTTCACGTTTGCGGTAGAATTACTCAATCCAGTTCTCGACAAGAAAATTTCATTTAAAATCTGTCCTTCCTTAAAAAGCCCAAGGATAAAATATTACCTAGGCATTAAGGCTTAATGTCAGATTTTCTGGATTAGATTTCACTACATACCTAAACTTTGTCACTAATATAATTATTACAAAGGTGCTTTTTAAGAGCTTGAAACGTTGCTTGCAGCAACACATTTTTTTTAACCTCCATTAAGTCAAAGTTATTCGTGGTTTAGGATATTTTGCTACAGATATTAATCTAATTGTGGCAGCAGTGCATAACAGAAAATCCGCGAAAAACTGCAGGGGACAAATAAAGATAGAAGCTTGAAGGGAGTTTGGGGGGAAAGCAGGGCAGTGAGATCGAACGAACACCTTGCTCTGAGGAAGACATTTACAGCATAGAAGGACATCGACATCATCGAGTCTGCACTGGCTCTCAGAATAAAGTGTTCATTCAATGAATCCCACTGCCCTGCTCTATTCCCACACCACTTCAAGCCTCCAATCTTCATATACCAGTCTACTTCCCTTTGAAACCCACAATGGACTCTGCCTCTGTAACCTCACTTGGCAGGGCATTCCACGTCTTAACATCTGAGTAAAACAAATTCTCCCAAGTTCTTCTTTTGACTATTGATTTCAAGATCCTCACTCATATTTAAATCCCCCCCATCTCTACAACCTGCTCTCTCCCTCCACTACCCGCTGCCTCCTTCGACAGCTCCCGGCCTTCTCCTTATCCCCCGGACCCTTCTCCCCATCGGTGGCTGTGCTTTCAGCCACTATGCCCCGAAGCTGTGGACTCCCTCCCTCGACCCTTCACCTTGCCCCCTCTCTCGCCATTTTCTGGTCCTGTTTGAAGACCTACCTCTTTGACTGTGCCTATGGTCACCTTCCCTCCTGGCTCGGCATTGGGCTCCGCCATTTTTAAGTGCTCTGTGATGCCGTCTGATGTTAAGGGAGCTATCTGTATAAATGCAAGTTGTTGCTGTATCTTATAACTATGTCCCCATGTCACTGAACCCCACTGGTGGAAATAGTTTCTCACTGTTCACCCCGTCAAAACCCCTCAATTTTGTACACCTCTATCAACTTTCCTTTCCTCTCAACTTTCTCTGCTCCAGTGAAAACAGACTCAACTTCTTCAATCACCCCTCATCCCAGGTATTTACACCTCTAACTCCCTGCCTCAATCGCTGTGCCCCACCCCTTTTTATTCATCTTTAATCTATCAATTTCAAGATCCTCATCCTCACCTACAAGGCCATTCATGGCCTCGCTCCCCCCTACCTCTCGACTCTCTACCCCCTCCTCGCTCCCTCCCTTCCCTCCCCTCACCCTGACCATTTCCCCCCACTGCTCGGGTCCTGACCCAACTGTCCAGCGCCTTGGGACGTCCTCTCCCGATGTGAAAGTTGCTCTATAAATGGAATCTTGTTGTTGTTTAAATCCCACCTTAAGACCTACTTCTTTAACTGTGCCCAGTCACCTCCCCCTCCCCTTTTCCTTCACTTGATGTCCAATCCCGACATAGTGCAGAGCTCTGAGATGATATCCGTGTGAAGGGCACTACATGCTAGGCGTATCATTCTGTGCTGTAAATTTCTGATTCTATAACAACTTGCATTTATATAGTGCCCTTCGCACGGGGCAGCATCTCAGAGCACTTTACGATAGCAGAAGTGATCTTGGTT